GAACTTTGCTAATAATTGTTTAATAAGAAAATTTAAATCTTGTCAGATGATATGTTAGGATAAAAAATATATAAAGTTTTTCTGATAAGATTAATAAAATTTAAAACTTTAAATAAAAAATTTAAAATTTTTAAACAATAATAATAATAATAATAATAATAATAACTTGTCACTTTAATAATTAACAACAAAGGTTTTCTGCTGATTGCCTAAGAGAAAGTTCTAGTTATTCTTTTTTTGAAGCTTTGAATATTATTCAAACTAATAATAGAAAGTATTTATTAATAATATATTATATTTTAAATAATATATTTAACTTTGTTCTAAAATTTTTAGAATAGTTTAAGAAATTAATAGTTTATATTATCAAGTTCATTAGTTAGAAGATCGAGTTGAGAAGTAGCAAGAAAGTATTATGAAGAGTATTTAAAGAAATTAGATAAGAAATGCAGAGTATAAGAAGTTGTTAGTTGAAAGAAATAAGTTGAGAGCTTGAGTAGCAGATTTAGAAGATAAAGTTTTTTTTTATTTTTTTACTTTATACAACATACTATCAGCAAGATTTTTATTGATATAGATAGTTTTGAGCAATGATTATATATATGAGAGTACAATTAGCTACATGTACAACTTTGATTATCTAATTTAAGTAGTCTATCTGAAGGTTCTACACTAGCTATTATACTTGAAATTTATTTGAAAATTCTTTATTTAAACCCTCTGACTATATATGCTATTCCTATCCTTCTATTATTTATTATCTAAATTTGCCTAATTCTATACTACTTCTTTTTATAGAAGATATCAACAAAGCTAACATATGTTCACAAACTTTAAGATTCGAAGTCTAGTTCTATCTCAGGTATTCTTTCACTAACTTTCTAATCTATAGACACTGTGATACTCAACTATACTATGCTATATCCTAATTTAGCTTGCATATACTCTTGTTCAATATTTGTATAAACTCAGTTTTTACTATAGCTTTTTACCAGGTTAGTCATCTATATCTCCAAATATCACATAAGATAGGCTCTTCCAAATCTGATTACTACCTAAATTGGTGTTGCTAAAAGTTATCTGTATCTCCAGATATTATATAGAACAGATTCTTCTAATTCAGTTAGCTACTAAGCCAAGTTGGTATTGCTATATAACCTTGTATAATAGATTTATACATACTCATTCTACTGTTCTTTTCATATGTAGGTTTTCTAACAAACTTACTCGCATCTTATTTGCTGATCTTTTAATATGCAGATTTATTTTTTAGATCAAATATTAACTGATATGATCATTGAAATCTATACTATTTTACCTAACTTAAGATTTTCTACTATGCAGATTCTTTGCTAATAGATTCTATTAAGATTTATTCATATAATGTTATACTCTTCCAAATGCCTCATCATACTTCTAATGCCCTAATTGGTATTAGTGCAATAAAATTATAAAGTTACAACTCCAGAAATGAGCAGAGTTTACTGTAAGTTGAATACAGATGTCTAGATAATTATTCAATTCTATCAATAGTAGGATTTGAACTTTAGTCCTCTTGTATAGCAGTCTGGTAATCTAACCACTACACTAAGATCACTAGATCCAGAAGATAAAGTTAGAAGAAGAAGAAGTAATAATAATAATAATAATAATAATCAAAGTAATGATAGTAGAAGAGTTGGTTTTGGTTTCTTTGGAGATAGAAATAATATATAAATAATATTTTTCTTAAATAAAATTTCTATTCTACTGTATTTAAAAAAATATAAATATCTTAAATAATAAATAATATATTTAAAAAAAATAAAAATATCTAAAAAAATAAATGATATCTTTACTAAAGAGTATGTAGTTGAACTTTCCTAGTTCTAGTAATCAAAGAGTATATAATTACATCTTTCTAACTTTAATTAATATCATATCAAGAAGCAATAATAAAAGTATATAAAAATATTATTAATATTGTTATAAATTCTAACTATTAGTTGTTGTAAAATTATTTTTTAAGAAAGTATTAATGTTGTTGTAACTTTCAAATTGCAGTAATAGATTTTAAAACCAAAGTACTTCTAAATATTTGATATAATTTCTTGATTCAAAATTGTTACTATTCCAAATTAATTTGTAATTCCAATATAGTGTTTGATAAGTTGTAAATATCTTTTGTTAGGTTTGGTGATCTTAGTATAGTGGTTAGGTTGCTAGACCGCCATGCAAGAGGTCTAGGGTTCGAATCTCACTATATACAGAATTGAATAATTACCTAGACATCTGTATCTAACTTATGGTAAAACTCTGCTCGTTTCTAGAGTTGTAACCCTGTAAATCACGTTGCACCAATACTAATCAGGTATTAGAAGTGTGATGGAGCATTCAGTAAGGCGTAATATTACAAGAATAAATCTTGATAGGATCTATGAGCAGAGGACCTGCATAGTAGAAATCTCGAGTTAGATGAAGTAGTACAGATTTCAACAGTCATACTAGTTAATATTTGATCTAGAAAAGGAAATCTGCATATGAAAGATCAGTGAAATAGATATGAGTAAGTCCTGAGTACAGAAGAATTAATGAAACAGATATGAGTAAATCTATTATACAAGGTTATATAGCAACACCAACCTGGCTTGGCAGCTAACTGAATTTGGGAGAATCTGTCTTATGTGATATCTGGTAGCAAAACAGGCAACACCAAGTAACAGATTTGGGAGGATCTACTTTGTATGATATCTGAAGATACAGATAACTAACTTGGTAGAAGGCTACGATAGAAACCAGAGTTGTACAAATATTGAATAAGAGTTTATGCAAGCTAGATTAGAATATAGTATAGCATAGTTAGGTACCACAGCATCTATCAGTTAGGGAGTTAGTGAAGGGACACCTTGTGATAGAGTCTAGGCTCTGAACTATAAAGTTTGTAGACTAATATCAGCTCAGGTATCTTCTAGGAGAAGTAGCACAAGGTTAGGTGAATCTTAGTAAAAAAGGATAGAATACGAATAAGTGTCATAAGGCCAGAGAGTTTAAATAGGTAATCTTCAAATAGATTTCAGATATGGTAGCTAGTGTAGAATCTTTGGATAAACTACTTAAATTAGACAATCTAAAGTTATATGTGTGGCTAGTTGTACTCTCACAATATGTAATATTTACTCACTATCAATACTAATAAAAGTTTCAGCTGATGGTATTTGTATAAAGTAAAAAAAAAAAAAAAAAAAATATATATATATCTTTTGTTAGGATACTATTAATCTAAACTGAATTAATTTTAATAATAAATTTAAAAATATTCAAATTTCAAAATATTGTTTTAAGAATAAGTATAGTAATATGAAAACATATACTATATTCTAATTGCTTAAATATTTCAAAAGTTTTTATTATATACAGTACTTATTAGACTTGCTAGAGCCAGGCTATATATGTGACTTACAGATTTTTTAAAATAATATTATATTTTTAAGATTGATAAAAACTAATCTTAAGTCAAAATTTCTAAATATAATAAGAACTAATCTCAAGTCAAAGTTTTCAAATATGACAAGAACTAATCTTAAGTTAAAGTTTCTAAAAATAATAAGAACTAATCTCAAGTTAATATTTTTTTAAAATTCTTTTTAGCATGCTTAAAAATTATTTATATGCTATTGTCAGACTAATTAAAAGACTTATAGCTATTCTAATTTTATTATTTTTCTATAAAGTAAAATATCCAACCTTCAGTTATTTTTGCTTAAAAATAATAAACTACAAGTTATTTTATGCAATATCTGATTGCAAAGAGTAGAGATATTCTCACTATTAGTTTACTTTTGTTCAGAAGTAACAAACTGAAAAAGTTCTAACAAAATATTAAAAATAATAAGAGCTTTAATCTTGTTCAAATCTATTCTAGTCAACTATAAATACTAGGCCTAATTCAAAAGAATAAACTAAAATAAAATATAATATAATATCTAATAACTATATAACTAATAAATATAATATTCATCAAACTCTTTCTGACAATCCTTTTTTTCAAAAAATCTGAAAAAGTAAAACAAAAATTTATTAAAGATAATGAAGAAGAAGGTTCTTTTACATTACAACAGTTTTTATAGAGGTTAACTACTGCTTTCAAAGACTTCTTTATATATTTAACATGCAAGCTAAAAGCTATATTATACAAGATAACTAGCAGGTAGAGCCCTTGTATAAAAAATTTTAGTAAAGAGACAGAAAAGATGCTCTTTGTTAACTAAGTTGTTAAAAGAAGACTTCTGAAGTAGGTGAACAATAAATTATTTTATCTATATACTTCCTTGGAACTTAGAAAACAAAAATATACTGCAAGCTTTTTTACTTCAGTCTTCTTTTTTTTTAACAAAAAGTAGGAAATCTAGATTCTCCTTTCAAAAGATTAGCATTGTTTACTCCTTTCATTTTTAGAAAAACTCTGTGGATGTGCAATCTCATGCAGTAAACAAAGCCATATATTCTGTTTGGCAAAATTACGTACTTTGTTTTTACAGAGTTACATACTTTGTTTATTGTTTAGTCTGTTATGTGATCTTGGTACTACAGATCCTAAATTCTGAAATTGAATTGTACGTTAGGAAGAGAAATTCTTGAGATAGGTTACAAGTTGCACAATTTATAATTTTTAAGTCTAACCTAGATTATAAGGTATTTGGTTATATATAAATTTATACTCTTTCTTCTTAATTTTGTAATAAATCTTAAAACAAAAAAATTATGAGTAATTTTTTTTTTTTTTAGCAAAAACTAAATTCAGTTTTTGTTAAATTATTTAGTGTTTTAATTATTATAATTAATTTTATTTTTAGCAAAAACTAAATTCAGTTTTTGTTAAATTATTTAGTATTTTAATAATTATTATAATTAATTAATTTTTTTAAAATTTTTTTTTAGCATGCTATAATAGTAACATGATGTGATATATATACTTACTGTCCTTATACTATTCAGATGAACAGATTCAGCTAATTAGATTTATGAAAGATGAGGTTGTAATTATATACTCAGATGAAACCAAAAGATCTTTTAATTTTCAAATTGTAGAATCAAGTAAAGATATGATAGATCTTAAAAGTGAGATAGCTAACAAACTAGATATAGTACTTGAGGTTAGTGAAGTATCTAGTCAAGGAAATAACAAATATAAGATCAAATTTGATGAACTAAAAGTGCTATTAAATGAAGGTATAAATTAAATAATATAATATACTATACTGTTTATATTTGCTAATATTTCTAATTTATTTGTTATTAAAAAGATAAAATTAAACAGAATTTAGGTAATGATAATAATCAAAATTCAGAGAAAGAAGATAGCAAAAAAAGTAATAATAAAGAAGAAGATGCTAATATGATAGAGAATAACTATAAAGAGGAAGTTGATGAAATATATAAAGGAAAGATGAACTATGAAGCTGAAGAGAAAGTCAATGAAATATATAGAGGAGATATTGAAGGAGCAGACCAGATAGATAGAGCAGAATTTGATGAGATAGAGGATGAAGAAACTAGCATTATAGAAAAAAGGAGAAAGAAAAAATGTAAATACAAAATATCAAGAAATAATAGTATATATATAATAAATAAATAAAAAAAAAAAAATTAAAAAAAAAATTAATTAAAAAAATTAATTAAAAGATTAATTAATTAATATACAATTTTTTTTTTTTTAAATTAATGATTAAAACTGCGAAACAAATTTTATCACTATGCAGTTTTGAGTCTACAAGATTTTAACGAATAGCAAAAGAATTTAATTTGAACATTGTAAATTGTAGTTTAGTACTAAGTGCAGTAGTACTCAGATCTAATTTAAAAAAGATCAAAGTATTTTCTAAAAAAGAAAAGTAGTATTAAAGAATAAAAATAGACAAATCATTCTCGAACTAGCAAATTATAAAGTAATTAAAGAAGTAGTCAATAATTTCAAATAGCTAAAATTCATACATACAAACTGGAATAATATTAATCTGATAAACACTTTGAGTTTTTATACTGAATATGAAAATTCCTAAAAAAATAGACTTTTAAATAGTAATAAGCTTAAAATAGCTAATTTATATTGTGAGTTTCTTTTTTTGCAAAGTGCATTGTCTGTAATAGCTCTATTTTTTAACTCTAATTCTGGGGTCCAAAAAATAGAATACTACAGGAACATAATAAATTTTCTAAAAATAGTAATCCAACAAAGAAACTCTACCTATCTAGTTCAATTAGATACTATGAAGCTCTCAAACTGAATCTATTCTAAGAACAAGAAGTAACTCTATTAATAGAAGAACAGGAAATACTTCTGTTAATAGAAGAAGCTAAAAATATATAAGATGAAATCTTATTATTAAGAAAGGTACTAGAACTACTGTCTAGTCTTAGTATTAATCATTTTTTAAATTATAATACTGAAGTATCTAACCAAATATCAATATTCTCAATACTCATGACAATGTGTTACCAATCAATTCATAAAGTTAATATTAGTTCATATCATCTGAAGATAACAAGACGCATGTCTTTAAGATTCTTATATGAATTTAAAGAAGCCTATATTTTTTTGAAGGGATAGGTTTCAAACTTTGCTACTAGATCTAAAGGTATAAAATCAGTAATGCAAGTGTGTTCACTTTTGACCAGTAAAACCTTAATTGATTAACTCTTTAAAATAAACTCAATAAAATCTAACCTGTTCAATATTAAACATATAGCCTACAAAAAAAAGAAAAAAAGAAGTATAGAATCAGATAATATTTTAATAAATATTTCTAGATTTTCTGGTAAAATTGCATTAAGAAAACTCAATACATTTATAATAGCAGACCTAAGATTAATGCAATTATTTAAAACATTAAATAACAATTAGACTACTTTAGACTTAGTCAATAATGTAATGATAACTTGGCTTGAGAGCTTTTACAAGAAAGAATAGACAGCTTTTATTAACCATATTAAAAGTAATTTTATTAATATTAATATACTGTATCACAAATAAAATACTAATAATAATTTTTTTAAGTGATAGTTAAAAGACAAAAAAAAAAAAAAAAAATCAATTACCTTTCTATTCACTTTATAATTTTGCTTTAAATAATATTTTGTAAAAACAAAATATATTTTCTGATTAATCTAGTATATTATGACACTGTCTTTTTTTGCAAAAAACTTTTCTGGTATTCTAGTTAATTTACTTTTCGATACTTCAACTACTCTATTCTTTTAATATATATAGTCATGAAATTAAATTAGATAATCACATAATTAAATAGTTATAATCATGGCATTGTATAGTAAATATATTAAATTAGATAATCACATAATTAAATGGTTATAATCATGTATTGTATAGTAAATATATTAAAATTGATCATATTCTACTAGTAAGATAAAATTTTGCATTAATATTGATTGCATATTGATTAAATATAAATAACTTGACTTTTTTAGTTATCTTCTCTTTAGAATCTTTAAATCTTTATACCAAAAATAGTATAAAAGTCAAACTCTTGTAAATATTGATATTTTATTTTTACATAATAGGCTATATTGACTATTAACTTGAAAACTTCTCTTTTGTAGCTAAAGATGTAGCAAAAAGCACAAAAGCAAAGTTTACACAAGAATAGAATATTTCAAGAACAAAAAGACAATAAACAACATGTCAAACAAAGATTAAAGGTATACTAATAGTTTTTTATTTTTAATAAAACAAAATAGTCTCTTATATTTATAATAAAAAATAAGATTAATTTTTTAATTTTTTAAAAGAAAATATTAATGTTAATCTAGAGGTACAAGAGTTACAAGAACCACTTCAAAATAATAATATTAATCTAGAGGCACAAGAGTTACAAGAACCACTTCAAAATA